CTAATAATTAGTTAAACATGAATTAGCCATATTTCTGTTTTTGTCATGAAATAGCCTTTCAAATTCACTGCATTAACCATGCTACTAGACAAGGGTTGTGCTACAATGTTATCTGAAGCTGAACTAACAAATAAAAATGTACAAATAGAAAGACATTGAAAAGGAACATAAGATTTCAGAATTTGTGGGTTTTTGATTTTGCACAATATCTAAATACATTTCTATATATACTTTGATGTAAGCCTCATGGAATTCAGAGGGACTTTAATTCAGTTATGTGTATTTAGGAATGCATAATAAGAAATGGTGCTGATTTCAGCAAGGCAAAACAAAAAATCCCAAAACTTGTTTTCAGAAACACTAGCTGTTTGGTAAATTCTAGCTTGGATTTTAGTGCTTATTCCTTTAAATCCGATGTAGTTCCCTCAAAATGGGATTTTGTCTTTATTCCCAGAAATACAAAATTGAGTTTCTAAATTTCTCTATAACAAATATATTTTCAAGTTGGTTGTAATTCTGACTAATATTATTCAGGTTTTAGTTAATGTGGTTTTGTGTTACATGTGTTTTATTCTTAACAAAATAAATTATGAAAGAACACATGACAGCCAACATTCTTCTATGGAGGTGTGAGAATATTCAAGAACTGATAACAAAGATATTAGAACTAATATGAAGTTTTGCAGGCTAGAAAAGAAAGGGTTTCCTTATTTTTATTTTTCAGTGCCTGCATATCTGATTCCCTAATTCTGATTGTACTCTAGATAGTGTGTGCCGTTGGTGGAGGGCTTTTGTTTGTATTAGAAAAGTTCAGATAAATTAAATCCACATTGGGTGGAGCCTTGAGGGTTGCTGTTTGATTCTAAGCCACACCAGTAGAAGCTACTTGAGCTCCACCTCAAGACTTGACCAGACAAGTTGTTAGATTGGAACTCTGTGGGCAACCGTGTGCTTGTTTTGATTAAAGGAATGGAATACAGAGGTCTTGTTAAGTGTGTGTGTGCCTCCTCATGCTTTGTCCCTTGCTAGGATGCACCTAGAGTTAAGTTTTTCCTTCAGGGGCAGACATAATTGCCAGGCATAATTCCAAGATCACTCCATTTGGGGAAAGAACAAATGTCTTCATTGATAGCAGGCATATTGGCTATACTCTTATTTTCCCACTAGCTTCTGCCTTTCTTTTTATCCCTTTTCTATACTTTCATTAACTCAGAAAATAAACAAAAGACTGAACAGTTATTTCCTTTCTGTTTATTAAATGTATTTAGTTCTATATATTTGCTTTTACAATGTTATCTTAAGGTATTATTACAAATCTCAAATTTTACATTTTTTATTTGGATTTTAATGTCTGTTACACTGATGCCTTCAGAAAAACAATTTTTTTTTTAAAAAAAACCTGTTTACTTTATAGAACACATTTTAGCCTTAATCCTTTGGAACAGTAAAAATCATAGAAAAAACACCAATCTCATTTCCAAGTTTCAGGGCATATGAGTATAATTACCAATGAAAAAAGTACTTTTCTATCTTTCCCAAGAATTATGACTAATTAGGAGGGGGTATGATGGCAAGATACCATTTCCATATAAACAGTGGGAAATGAATAAATACAAGCATTACCAACACAGTCATAAAAACAAACAATGAAAAGTAATTGGCCTCACCTTCTCTCTCCCCTGCCTCCAGCTCTTTTAGAAAATTAACAGAATATTCCCAAGCTTTGAAACGGGATTTGCTCTGAACTACTTCTCACTGTACTTGATACACTTGCATCTACCTACTTCTGATACTTCAAGAATGTCTACATGTTACCAAATAGCCTTCCATATCAAAACAAAACAGTCCTATTGCAAACATAAAAAATGTTAAGAAGAGACCTAGTCTAGCATCCTTAGTCTAGGGTTTATGTATTATTTTCTTCAAACATTCACTTATACAATTTCCTCTAATAGGCACATAGATTTATTGTTAAAGGAAAATTAGGTCGGAGGGGGATAATATTCTAATCTCTGCCATTTTTCTTATCTCAAATAGTTTGCCTCTTCGCTCGTCTCAGTAATCATGTGTCTTGAGTATCTTGTTTACCTATCTTTTCTCACACCCTCAGTTTTATGTCCTCTCCATAACTACACACCTAACAGTCTCTCTTTGTGCTTGGGCATCTGCATATGGTTTTGAAGTAATAAGTGTGGAGAAGATCAGTTTTACCCCAGGATAATTTTCCACCTGTTTTTATGTTCAGCTATAAGCAGATAGCTTTTTCACGAATGAAGGCAAATATACATGTCCCAGGATAATGTTGCAAGATCCAATCTGGGTTGATCACCAGGACCAGAGATTTATGAGCTTTTGGACTCATGCTGGAGCCTATCCTTGGGGAACTGAGAAAAGTTTCTTTCCTAAAGGAGAGTTGCTTAGAACCAATGAATTGATTCTGTACAACAGTTTCTATTTATTCAAATATCTCTGTTCCTCTTTTGGGATGTGGGGGGGGGGGGATATTTTAGCTGTAGGATTTGCATAGGAGGAAATTCTGAGAGTCAAAGTCCCATAGATGTAAAGGTAACTCACATGGAGAAAACTAATATATGATATTTTAGGAAGAAATCATTGTAAATAAGAATTATGTATGAGAGTTCAGGTATCTCCAGAGATTGCAAATTGTCTAGAAGAATTCACAGAAAAAGAAGAAATTACAAATGATTATTAATGAATTATAAATACTAAAAGTGTTTAAAAAGCAATAGGTGACAAGCAAATCAATTCTTAATTAAAATTTGAAGATAAAAATAGTTTCTGTTTTAAATCAGTAGTAAATCAAGTCATCACATGACCAGACCCAATATTGCAGACATTTTTACTGTGGTCATAAAGCAAATCACTGTAGTCAGTAAGCAAATTGCAGTCATTAAGCAAATCCAGTTTCCCCATTTTATTTTATTTTTGGTCCATTTACATGCCTGGATACCAATATATTAAACCTTTAAAAGGTTAAAAAATAACATCCTGTTAAATTTTTATTATAAATAAAATAGTTTGTTGAAAGGTTTTAAACCATAAAAATTTGGCCAGCACATTTAATTTCTGCCAATCAATTGGTAGTTGCACTTTGTACCTAATGATTTTTCTAAATATATTTCAAAGTAAGATTTATTTCTAACATGAGGCCACGTCATCACAGTCTGCAGTAGCCCGGAACTTTAAGCTGTGTTGATAACAGAACAGAATAACAGAGTTGGAAGGGACCTTGAAGGTCTTCTAGTCCAATCCCCTGCTCAGGCAGGTAACCCTATCCATTTCAGACAAATGGTTATCCAATCTCTTCTTAAAAACTTCCAGTGTTGGAGCATCTACAACTTCTGGAGGCAGGCTGTTCCACTGATTAATTGTTCTAACTGTCAGGAAATTTCTCCTTAGATCTAGGTTGCTTCTCACCTTCATTAGCTTCCATCCATTGGTGGAATCCATTGGTGATTAATGGCACCTAAGGGAAAGGGTGTTTATTGTGGCAATCAAATTTAATCATTCTTGTTTTGAGAAATGCAGCCTCACCTACAACAACTGAACATGATCAGATGAGCTACTTACTGATATTTCCTGACATATTTGTATTGTTCCTAATCTTCACCTGACTTACATGTAATATAAGTCAGGGCTTTTCAACCTTTTCACCCATTGTACCACTTTTAGGATATGGCAACATTCGAGTACCACCAGTTGCCTAGCAAGGTGTCAAAAACTTGATGACAAAAAAAGGAAAAAAGTGATAAAGTACAGGTGGTCCTCAACTTACAACAGTTCGCTTAGTGACTGTTTGAAGTTACAATGGCACTGAAAAAAGTGCCCCCCAAGCCACAGCCGAGCAAGATACCTGCCTGCCTGCCCGGCGGCGCTCTTCCTCCTGTCTGAGGTTTTCATTGTGAGCATTTCTGTTGAGGATTGGCAGCGGGGGTGGGGTGGGGGTTGTTTGGTTTTTATTCCCCCGTCTGCTGGGTGGTTGCAGCAGGTTTTGGTCACTTCACATGATCGTGGGACACTGTGACCGTCATAAATATGAATCAGTTGCCATGCATCTGAATGTAAATCACAAGACCCTGGAGATGCTAAAACATTCCAGCTGATCGGCACTTCTTCTGGGCTTAGCAGAAGCACCAGGATCAGTGCCGAGCTCCAGCTGGAGCGTGGTGCTGATCCTGGCACTTCCACTGAGCCCTGACAGCCCCGAAGAAGCGCCAATCAGCTGGAAAGCGGCACTGATCCTGGTGCTTCCGCTGAGCCTTGACAGCCCTGCAGCTCCTGCCATCTCTCACTCAGGCTTGTGCAGTGCTGCCACTGGTTCAGCTCATTCCCCTCCCCCGCTACCACTTTTCTAGGATGGTCGTGTACCATCTGCCAGGTGCCAATGTACCACAAGTGGTACCCGTACCACTGGTTGAAAAGCCCTGATATAAGTAACACTTGTGTGTTACCTGCTTATTGGTGACATTGCAGGTAACCTTAGGTATTTTATATTATTTCTTTGGTGGTTTAATGTAAATGTTAAAAAGAAAATATAAACCTACAAAATATGAGAAGATGCTATTGAATTAGAAGACTGATCTGTCTAGCGTATTATGGCCAATATAACTGAATTTTCAGGGTAAGAATTTCTCTACTACTCTGTTTTGCTGCTCCTCTTAAACTTGACACTCGGAGAAAGCCAATTAGACAGGTCGCATTGTGTTATCGCAAATCTTTTGTGATTGGCCATAATAGCTGAGATTCAAGTAAATTATTGCTGAAAATATCTTAGTGTACTTGGTTGTCTTTTTAAAAACTGATATATTTAATAAAGCTGTTGATTACCCGTTGCTAAGTATTCTAATTATATTAGAATTTAGGAAGTTTTAAAATAAAAGTAAAATTTCTCTGCTACAATGTTTTTTAAAAAACGTGAGATGATTGATGTATAGAAATAGTATGTTGCTAATGAGATGACATTTACTTATTCTTTGTAGGTTGTGTCTGCTGGCTCAGGACATCTATGGAATATTTAGTGAAATACAGCTTCCAGTTCTATATTCCTCTTCACAACTGACAGAAAAATATAGAAAAAAATGGGAAGGAAAATGCTGTTGTATTTCTCGGCTGAAAATTTTGCGAAGAGTCACCAGGGGAAGGTAAAAAAAGTTGCAGTATGTCTTTGCATCTTAAGGTGAAGAGAAACCAGAAAACCCAACAATTGAATTATGTGTCTTACGTGTTTTATATGTGTGTGTGTGTGTGTGTGTGTGTTGAGGAAAATAGTCGAACACCAGGATAAATATAAAAACAACTGTTTAATAAACTAACAACTGTTTGATAAACTTAGCTTTCGTCAGCTAACTGCCGACGTCGTCAGAGTGGAATGACGTCATCGGCAGTTAGCCGACAAAAGCTAAGTTTATCAAACAGTTGTTAGTTTATTAAACAGTTATTTTTATATTTATCACGGTGTTCGACTATTTTCCTTAACATGAATATACCCGGGATTCGCATTTTTAGTATAATTAGAGACAATACACACACACACACACAGCTAGGCCTCCCACTTGTCGTGCTGCTGCTTGACTACTTCTGCGGCCTCTTGCCACCACTTGCAGCTGGACGTCATGTGGCACATTGCGCCGTTTCTGCTCCTTCTGGCAGGATGGTGCTTTGCGCCATTTCTGCTGCTTATGGCAAGAAGCCGCACGGCTCTTTGGGCCGTTTCTGCCGTGAGAAACAGCCCAAAGAGCCCTGCAGCATCCTGCCGTGAGCAGCAGAAACAGTCCGAAGAACTGTGTGGCTTGACAAGCGCATGGAAGGCCTGGCTGAGGCAGTCCTACCAGTAAGGTAAGCAGATGCTGGGCACATGGGGCAGCTTCACCCCCCCTACTCCCTCCCTAGCTTGATTTTTAGGCTTGCGCCTCGCCCCAAAACTAGCGCTTATTTTTGGAGTAGGGCTTGTATATACTGCTCACAAAAATAAAGGGAACATTTTACCATGGAACTGAAGGGGTTTGCGTTCCCTTTATTTTTTTGAGCAGTATATATAAATTTGAATAACCTTGTACTCAGTTGTTAGAAAAAAAATACTGTGAGCTTTGCTCTTAAGTTGAAAAGTTTTATTATCATGGAACATTCCTTGGCCCTTATTTTTGTTATACGCTTCATTTTTGTTTTGCTGTTTTTGTGAATGGATGATTAGAACTCTCTACAGTCATTACTAAAGCAACTGGATTAATTCTATGTAAGGCAGTATCTTTGTTTCCTGACATCCTTTCCGTGTTATTGTGCTGACTCATGCATGATTACCTTTCTTCCCAAAGTTAACCTGAATACTTTAGAGCTGTTTAACAGAAGGTGATTAATGATAAAAGAAAAAAAAGAGGGCAATGTGCTGAATTTTATCATGTAAAATATTCTGTGTTGATTTGTGCTGTATATGTCATTTTGTATAGGAAAAGAACTAGAAACACAACCAATAATTTAAATAAAAATATTTCTACTGACTAGAGATTGCCAGTAGATGTTATAATTGCACTGAAATTAGCATATTTGGTTTCAATGTGCACTGTAAAAAATAAAAGCAATATATCAAAACTAATCTTTACTTTGACATCATTTCCAAAATATTAAACATATCATTAACTTGTTATATTGGAGTTTCTGTAAAAAATGTTTTAGATTGGTCTTCCACCTTCCACTGTTTCCTTTACAACATAACTTATTTACATCTTTTCTGTTTTTCATAATTAAATTACAGGGTTTAGTCATTGCTGCATTGTATTTTAATTCTACAATATATTAGATTCGCACAGACACATACCATTTCATCAAGAATGGCTTCCATATCTATGTATTGTGAAATTTCTTTTAGTAGTACAAGATTCCATTGTAAATCAAAATAATTAAAATACAGATGCAGTGTCAGCAAATACAAGAAAAAATTATTTTGATGATAGTATGTTTCTAATGATTACACTTTTATTGTACATACTCACACTGATTTCATCAAATTTATGCTTTGCTTACTTGTTTTGGAAGAACTCTAGGGCTTTTTAGTCTAATTGATAGTCTATGGCCACCATTATCACCTCTTCAAGTTCCGGGCAAGAGACAAGGAAATGAAACAGTAAGATACTTTTAAACTTGCTTTTTCCAAAATAATCATCTAAGTAAGATTTCCTAAATAAATTATCTTCTCTATTCCATTTTAATTGAATTCAACATTTTAAACATTGTACTGTATTTTCCTCCCTTAACATAACATCACCAACAGTTACTGATCCAAATTATTTGTTAATGTGCAACAGAAAATATTATAATCTTCATTCTATGGAAAAGTATTTAAATTTAGAAGCAAGGGGTCCTAAAAATTGAGATTCCTGAAGGAAATTAAAAATGAAATGTTTAGTATATTTACATACATGAAATTACAAATTAATTTGATTTACCCTTAGTTCATTTTAAAATCTTCAAAGAACACTGTCTTCAGCTACAAATACTCTATTTTCTTCAGTCAACCATCATATTTTATCATAATCTTATATAAAATCAGAGCTAGAAACATGCATGAAGGAGATAAACTTCTATAATAGAATACTTTATGCATGCTAAAATAGTGCTGTTAGCTGTGAAAATGAGAAAATATGAAGGAAATAATAATGTATACAAAGCTGTTTGCAATAATTAGGATACCATAGTTTGTTATTTAAGACTTGGCAGTAATTTAATGAGATTCTGAGCGTTTGTTGTACTGATTTATAACTATTGCATATTCAATATGCAAGGAATTTTTTCTGTGGTACCTAAAGAATAAATTCAAGCTCTGTCTCTCTCTCTCCCCCCCCTCCTTTTTATCTAATGAATGGAAACATCTGTTTACTCTGATACCTCTTATCTCAGAAGAATAAAATATTATTTAAGGTTCCTACTTAATTATAACCTCAATCTGGGAGGGACAGTACAGAATATTAAACCCCAGATTAAAGTATGTTGATGCTTATGCTCTTTGTGTAAAATTTAAAGCAGGAGTCATGCAGGACTTGAATGATGGAACAGGGCCTGCTTTGCCTTGTATTTTAATTCCTTTATGATGTTAAATAATATTCTCAAATGGAGGAACAGTATGGTGCAGTGGTTAAGGTACCAGGCTTAATGAGGGTTGTCCTCTTCATCTCTTATCAATGGAAGACATACAATTTTAAGTGGTTCTATCCTGTCCCTGTGGGTATAGTCCTTCCAAGACTGTCACTCTATCGTTGCTATGCTTCCCTTCATATTTTAGTATGCTAACTGTGTTCTGAACAGGTTGGGAGAAACCCAGAATTTTTTCTTCACCAGCATAAAATTCTCACTGGGTTACTGCTATGGGGAGTTCACCAGCAAAGTGGATTTGGATTTGGATTAATATAGAGTAAAACCCTTTTCTGGCTCTTCTGTGATTTTACTAAATGCTTCAAAAATCAATCTTTCTTTGAAAGCTCTTTCCAATCCTTCCACCCATCTACAACACCCACTATTGAGGTCTGTAAGGAATCATTCTTTGTGCAACATAAAAAGCGCGAACATTGATTCAAGGGGTATTTGTGTGACATGTCTTCTAGTGAAAGGATATACTTAAAAATAGATATGCTGTTATGCTTTGCTGAGTTTCTTGTTAATTCACATTGGAAATTCTGTGGAGGTATGTTCAATGACTAGCTTGCACTTATCTCTTAGATAATTTGGGTAAAACAATGATGGTTGAAGGTGGGGTTTGTAAATTCCAAATTTG